GGATTCTACCAGCCGATACAACAGTATTCAGAGGTAAACGCAACATATGCCAACGCCTCTGCAGATGCGAACTATACAGCGCAGCAATCTATAATGACACAGAATCAACAACAAACAGTTTCTCAACAACCTATCAATCAGCTTAACCAACAAAATATGGGTCAGACTTCTCAGTTGACAACACTGGTGGATCCGCGCACCCTTCCCCCAATCGTCGGCAACACTACTGAATTGCCCGCTAACCTCTCGATGTCATCGAATTCTGCGGCACTTGTTGATGCTACTGGTCGTCGACTTACCCTCAACACTGGAAGCATAACGGTTAACGGCACAGAGACGTCCTTAGGTAATAACTCATCAACAGGGTCACATATTATGCCTTCCGGACACGGAGCCTCTTTAAACTATTCGCCGGCAGCGTTCTTGAATGGCGCTTTTGTGACTGCAGCTCATGTGAATAACGTGCTTATGTCATCGTCTCAACGTACTATGAGCAATCGGTCTGCAGATCGGATGAACGGAAGAGACCTTGACAATGCGAGTATACCAGCAAATATCGAACGCCCGCAGAAGGTGTATTCATTTGTGCCTTTGCCAGGAATTAATACTAAAAAGCGACCGCGAAGACGTTACGACGAGATTGAGCGTCACTATTCTTGTAATTGGCCAGGGTGTTCTAAAAGTTATGGTACACTGAATCACTTGAATGCTCACGTTCAAATGCAGAAACACGGGCCTAAGCGCAATCCGGCCGGTAAGTTGAAATGCCAATTTTGCAATTAATACTTGCATGATGATCAGTGACTGACTGTAAGTGGTTACAGAATTTAAGGAGCAAAGGAAGATATGGCGAAGGCAAAAACGAGAAGAAGAGGAGCGCAAAGCAGTCGAAGCAGCGGCAGCCAAGCAGAGTGCGGCCGTTGTGACTGCAGCAGTAGTCAACTCTGGATTGGCCAGTTTACCCGGTTCCATATGAAATAATTTGAGTTTATAAACGAACATTCTAGTAGTTTAATACTTTCTTTTTTGGCGATTGCGGCGAAGCTCGCATCTATACACAGTCATAATGCAGCTGTTAAGATAAGATACGATTGAATTCACAATACGATGGACAATAGCTTTCCTCCTCCTCGTTCCTCACTTTTTTCTCTTTTCTCGCGTCGCATAAGTTAACGTGTATGATAGTGGTCTAAGTTGAATAACCTTTTCTTGGATAGGCTAAGTTCTGAAGATGGTGCATTTGTTTCCTTTCCCATCAGGATCAAACAAAATAAAAGTACATAAATTGTTCAATTAATTTCAACCAAGACTACGCAGTTAAAAACTTCGACGTGGTGGTAGAAAAGTGTCTTAACACGATATCACCCGGACTGGATAAGTCTTGGTCAAGAGCAGATGTTAGCTTCTCGGGCATAAGAATTAACGTGTCCTTTTAAGTCGATTGTCTGCATATCGCATATGACATTTTCGCCACTGACATACTTGACGCATTGAGAATGAGCAGTACTAAAATTTCACAATCAGAAGGATAAAGGTTTCCCCCAATTAATATGTAACCTTTCGAGAAATTTAAGTACAAAACTGTCCGGAGACTTTTGTAATTTGTAATTTAGCGTTTTAAATGAGGCATTACAATGTTAAAATGATACAAAACCTTGCGATAGGTTTTATTCAAAAACAATACGACAAACCTTGACCTCTCTCTCAAGCTGAAATTTGTCGCACGGGTTTATTTCGTAAACGACAATTCCTCGACTAAAAACTTATCCAAATGATTAGGATGATTATTCCAATATTGTCCTCAAATTTCTGAAGTGTTCGTTTCCTTTATTTATACGTTTCGTTTAGGTGACGTCAATGATCATAACTGATGCGTTGTCATCCTCCGCTAGAAGCTTTTCTGTCTTAAATACATAATAATAGCAATAAACTGGAAATCTTTTAAAGACTATGCGTTTACTCATCAATTACGTTTACTACGGTCAAAGCTTGATAATGAAGACTCGATACATCGAATTGGCGAAGTTATAGCATGATGTGGATTTGACCAATAAAAGTATAAACGCGTGCTAGAATACAAGCGAATTTTAATAGCATGAACGCTGTGAAGAAAAAGAAAAAGTTTGATGTCCAGAATGCTGAAATATATCGTTTAAAAGAGTGGCCAACAAACGTATCGGGAGACACCCCCAATATTTTCTATGTTATAGCCTAGACTTTTCTTGAATCTATGTATAAGGCTAATACCTTGTTGGTCAACCCCATGCTTGCAATGCATGCTCAATCCTTCGAGGCGCACGTTTAATTAAATTTATTAAAGATTTGGTCCATTCGTTCTGTAATGCTGTCTCAAGTTTCTGGGCAAACTTGAACGATTTCTAATGTGACTTTTGTCACTTCAAATAACAGACTTCCATTCTCGAACAGACCAATCCATTCTTTGTTTAGGCAAATTGCGTGGTTGAGTTGCGAGACTTGATTTGTTCGTATTACTGTTGCGCTAGGTAAGTCAAGTATTTGAGATATACACGTTTTTGTAGCGCCACTTTCAAAAAAATTCAACAACTTGGTCAGTTCAGCTTCAGTTAAGTCAGACATTTCAAGGTAAAGATTGAAAATAACTGATTCCGTTTATTATATTAAACAGCGCGTGAAACATATATACAACAAGTTAGACTATTACTATTGCTAGTATATAAAAATTTTAACCCCAATTATTATGTACACTTTTGAGTAATAATAAGGTTAGGGTGTCTTGTCCAGGTAGTGTATATATGAATTTACTACATTTGATACAGTCGCGGGCAAACAATGGCAGTCAGTTTTTTGATGTAAACAAACTCAATAAAAAATAATACTAATGAAAGCTAGACAATATTTGGTACGGCCTCCTTAAGCTTCGATACATGCTTGAATCCGATTTTTCATGCTACTAATACTGTTAAATATATGTATTTTTCGAGACCATCCCTTCACCCTTAATTATGTCTATAAAAATGGTTTGAGCAAATTTCTTTTTTGGGCCACCATTTTTATGCGTTTCTCTACATTTTTTTCAAACCAGTCCAGACGTTCTCGATCGGATTAAGATTTGGGCTGTAGGAAGGCCAGGAGAGAACGCGCTGCGGAAGCTGAATTTTTAAGTCATCGCAGGAAGGTGTGTTTTAGCTTGCTGAAAAACCAACAAGTTGGTTTACATTATCACGCAGATGATTATTAAGAATTTCACGTTACAAGTGACGATCTTAATTATATGAATGTTGATCGCAACCCAAACGTGAGCTTTGAACGGACGTTTTACCATAGGTTGAACAGATTATTACAAGACATTGGAATAGTTGTTTCATTGGATAATTAAATGCCACGTGACCAATTTAATGGTTTGTTGGGTTAAGATAGAATCCTTCGCCTGACGAATAGTTCGTTCACTCACTTCCAACCCTTGACACATTTTTTCTAATTTGTCTTCAATTCTTTAGCTGTTGTGAAGTGATGGTGCTTAACAATCATTCCGCTTTGGCGACGCTTATTGGAAGACAATTTTCGCGGACGGCCAAGTCGATAACAAAAACGCGAAGGAATAATGTATGGCTTTTGTTATATTAATGTCCGGAAAAAGAGGGTTGTGTCCCTCAAATTTGAAACAGCCCTTCTTTTAAAGCTGAGTTGTGTTATGGGAGTTGGGGCTACCATAGCTTCCGACAAAAGTGAATGTTCCTGGTGCCCAAATGAAGGCCTACACCTCCTTCACCAATGTCACATTGCATGGAAGATCCCATAGTATCTATGCAAGTGGCACACACTCACAGACAGTTCCAGCCAATCTTTCTCGCCCCAACACAGACTCCTACGTTCCATCCAGTCAGCTACAAGGGCCTCTTCTCCCTTCGCATTGTAGACCTACAGATCGACCCCAAACATAGCCATGAACAGATATTGCGGCCCCCTTCTAGTCCATTCCGTCCTTATAGGCTTTTGTTCTCTCCCTTTACAGGTTATGTAAATAGATAAAAACAGTTTAGCAAGCATCTTGCTGTCGCCCTAAAAATTTATCAGATTATCAGACCTTACGTTTTACGGTTAGTTTTAATAGATGTGGGTGTCATTTAGAAAGCAAATTGAACACGAAAGCAAGTTCTACCATCCAATTTGGTATAATAAACAATGTACAAAACAATCGGGATATTATGTGTTACTAACAAAAAACAAAACGACTATATTAATTTTCCAATCGAGGTTTGACCTTATGTAACGTATCATTATCAGTTGCAAAGAAAGTGTTTTCACAACACTAATAATACTATATGTTCACATTTCCAATGATTCCTACAACTACATACTAACACCAACTTTATGATGATATCGATTATCACGCGTCTCTACAAACGTGCATTTACCAACGCGTCTTATCTGTCGACTGCTGCTTGATAGGACTCCAATTGCGATTTGGGCTCCTGTCTCTCTTATCCATTTTGCGGTTTACTTTTGCGAGCGAGCATCTTGGATATACGACTGAATGATTACGATTATATTTACCCCACGCCAGTGTTTATACGTATAAATTGTTCTACGGCATTTACACAGTGTAACAAAAAAAATTACTTCTTTATTTGCTCATTGACCGAGAATGTGTGTTAAAACTTGAAAACAGCTGTTTTATCCAAACATTAATAATTGCTATTTCCTTTATTTTGAATAAATTGCTCGTGGAATTTGATAAATTAATTAAGAGATGGTTTGAAATATTTTACCCTTCTCTCTATTAAAAATTGAGCTAATTCCCTAATATGTTTGGCATGTGTCTTTCTGCATTGCATTTAACAATAGACTATAGATTTTTCAATCGGGTTAAAATCTGGATTGTTGACGGCACTGGTCATTATTTTGTTGAAATCTCCAATTATCCCCAGCATTTCTGGCTGGTGCTTGAAGTATTCCAACATTTTTAAAGTAACCTCTTTCCACTCATAAAATTCACCTCAAGCAAAGATCCTCAGTTCATGAATGATCTTGGAATGGCTATCATCAAAAGACGAAATACACATACTGTTGAAAAGCTTGTAGAAAAGCTACAACAATCATTGGATATTCTTGGTAGTAACAAAAACATAAAGATTAATGAGCAGAATGAACATGAATTAGATAATTTAGATATTGCTGCTTGTATGACAAGCTGTGAAGATGAAGTAGAAGACTTAGAAAATGATGTAGAGGATGAAGTAGAACAGGAAGTGAATAAAGAAGTGGTTACTGAATCCAAGGTCATGATTAAAGAGACATCATCAAAACTATAAAGGCTCTTGTGTCTATTGTGTGAATGCATATTGAGTCAGGGAAGACAAAATGACCTGTTACAGGTTATGATATCCAGGAAGCAGCACACAGAGGAACAATCTTTACAGAAAAGGAGAAGGAGGTAGCTGCAAAGCTTGTCAACTTTCTCTGACCATTGTTCAACAATGGATGGATGATAACCAACTTCCTGAACCCCACATTTTGACTTGCACACCATTGGCTGCACTTGCCAATGCTATTGTAACTATTACATATACAGGCTTTCCCTCTCTTGTTCAGAAGTTGTCTATTGCTCAACAACAGAATCCTCATGCACTTCAACTCACTTCTGCTGGTATATTAATATATGACACATTTCATGGACAGTGGAATATTCCAGTCAATGATGCAAATTGGATTACCAACTCATATCAAGCAGGAAAAAACAAGCCTGCCACTTTTTATTTTGGAGCATTTTTCAATATGAATTGGATAGAATCACTCATGGACTTCAGTTTGCATGGAGGTTGACCTTTGTCAACAGATGGACTGTGCCTCTATTGGGGAGGGCCAAGCCTGGAAAAACATTTATCAAGTCAAATTATGAAACAAAGAGAAGAGGAAAGAGTAATATTATTATTATCAAAACCATGCAGATGCCAACATTGGATCATCAAAAATAGAACTAACTGAAATCCATGCATTGCAGGTCAAAGAATTGATTAACTCTTTAAAAAACTCACACCTGAAATTGCAACAAATGGATATTGGCTGATGTATGATGTGTCCAGAATTCACCATGGGACCCAAAGCCTAAAATTTACCAACAGTTGAGAAGTGTGAGACAAGAGATACCAGCAAAACAACTTGCAGTTATTAGAAGCTTGCAAGCACCAAGAGCTCACTTTATATTTTGAACAAGGCTTTGCAAAATACAAGGAGTACTATCACAACCTCTCTGGATGCAAGTTCAACAGATAATAATAAAGCTGTAAAGGAGGATTATTATTATATAGAAAGGGCAAGTACAGTACTTATACTGTCATCTCTTCAACATCACAAGACTAATTTACTGGCAAATTATTTTGCATTGCTTTATTATTTAACATTTTGCCTGTTCCCAAAATAGTAATAGATGGACTTAACTTCCAGCATCACAGGGTATCTTACTTCAGACCAAAAGGTCATTTTTTCTGGAACAGATCCAGGTACCATCACAACCTCCATTACTATTACAGTGCCAATGACTCTTGAATCTATCTTTGCTAGTATCAACTGCTTCCAAGTCCTTGCATCCATTGAGGATAGCTCTGATGACAGTGCATCATCCATCTTGGATGTCAATCACCTTCCAAAACCCTATAAGATCACTGCGGGTCTTGTTAATAACACTACCTTTTTGAAGAAGCATCAAAACAAGCATCATCAAACAAACATCATCAGAGACATAAATGTAGATGAGGATACAAAACGAAAAAAACTAACAAAGGAGAATCGGGAGGAGGAGGTTTGAACAAAGAGGGTGTATAGCAAAATCACTGCAGAAGAAAGGAGACATATCTGTTCGCATGTTCAGCTTCTCCCCGGTGAGCAGACACCAGCAGTGATTCATTGTTTCAGACATTGGCAGGGAATTAATAGTACTATCAAGAGACACTCTCGAAGGGGAACAAAGAAAATTCGGGAACAACATCGCGTCCACGGACATGTTGCCATAACCAACGAGTATAATACATCCAAGACATGCCCGTTCTGTTTTTCGAAAGTTGTTCTCCATCAAACTCGTCAGATTATCAATGGAAAGAAGAAGATTGTCCATTTGAATGGTGCCATTGAATGTGTCCATCCCCGATGCCCAGCTAGAAGAATAAAGTACACAACACGAGGAAGGGACATGAATGCAGCAAACATTGCTCTTTCTGGAGCATCAATCGTTTTATCTGCTGACAATCAACCACTTCCTCCTTTTCGTCGCAACGCCAATCACACCTTGCAGAAAAACGTGCGATATGAGACGAGGTGTATACAAGGATTTGCATGGTAATTCATAATAGATTCGTTTGGTTCAAGTGAATCAATAGTAAATATATTTGTTGTATGTAAATCCCGTCACCATGTAAATCCCGTCAAGGACCCCAAAATAAATAGATGAATGTCGTACGTAAATTCCGTCAAGGACCCCAAAACCGCATTTACATATGTAAATCCGGGATTTACATAACATGGCGACGGGATTTACATACGACATATGAATATTAAGTATCGAAAAGGCCATGATATTGGTTTTTTGCGAAAAGTTAGTGTAAAAAGTAACTTGCTTTATATCGGAGAAATTATTATATCAGTTCTTTTTGTACCTAATAAAAATTATTGTTACGTTACTTCATGGATTGTAAATATTTGAAACATGTGCAGAATGATTATGACGTTATAACGTATTGTCAATAGAAACAATAGAGGAAGCCATACCTTTGCTAAATATTGTCTGATCATGTGATTGTCACGTTATATTTGGGACAACTTTTCAAAACGCGTTAATCTCTCATTAATTCACAAACAATCCGAACCATCATTCTCAAATCAGAAAATTATTCGATAACGTCCATTTCAAGGAAGTATACGGTTTATTATCTAGTGTTAGCCACGCGTAACCTACTGGCGTATGGCCATTACGTCCTGCGTCAGATGTCCAGATTACGTTACGTATCCTACTGGCATATGGCCATTACGTCCTGTGTCAGATGCTTGGGAGCAGTCTCCGGGATCGTCCTTTAAGCATGCGTGCTAAAGGCCTTGACTCTTGCATGCTGTTTTCCAGTATACAGTTGGCTATCCTTGTGTTTTATCTAGGATTCATAGCACACTAGAAGTTCAGAAACTTACTTGTCTCTTCATACTGTAGATGGTTCAAGCAATTGTGCATGATTACCTCAACCGCGTGAGATATACAGATTGGTCAATCATTTCAATATTGGAGTGTATAGCGTCAAAGCAGAATCTGTATGTTGATCAGTTGGGCCATGTAAAAGACGACATACAAGTGAAACTCGATAAGCCGAAGGTGGGGGGAAGGGACAATTTATTCGGCTTATCGAGATTTTCGTTTTATCAAATTTCGCAATAAGCCGAATTTATATATAGTTTACACAAACTTTCGGCTTATAAAAACATTATATATAAACTTTATTAATGATAA